AATCCAAAAATGTCATTTTTTACATTTGTATTAGTTTGCATGCATGTGAGCCTATGATCAAACAGAATGTTTATATTTATGTTTGTATATGATGCAGTTTTATAAATTTCCCCAAATTTCCAATTAATTCCCATAAATTCCTAAATTCCCCAGACGAAGTTCCCATGGAAATTTTCTGAAAAATGTCCACCCCTTTGCAGCCCTAAACAAGACTCATGCAGTTCTAGCATGCATATGTCAATCTGTTATGTGCCATTTTTTATTATACTAACTCTATCCACCTTATTTTTAACTTGAATGAGTACATTTTTGACTGTGCAAGGTTTCTGGTGTCAGCCGCCTCCAGTCATAGACACTGCTTTGTAGCCCAAATAGTTTTATCATTTACTGCACCTTGTTAGTTTGCTAGTTATTTACTCATGGTGGTTAATGAATCGTGAGTCTCGCACATTTACAGGAAATTACATTTAGTTTTAAGTCTTTCCTTCACATGTTGACTTCTGCCTGTGTATTGATTTGGCTGATTGTGTCTTTCTGCAGTCATTCCTCTTCTGGTATGAACAGAATTGTGCAGATCACTAATGTTCCCATGGCCGGTGGCAGCGGAGGATTCAAGCCCTTCAAAGGAAGGTTCTAGTATCTGACCCTCTGCTGTGGAAAATTATAAATACTTTTTTTTTTTCTTCTTTTTTGTTAACTTCTGATGTTTTTAATTGGCTGAACTTACAGCCATTAGATTATTGTAAAGAACCAATTTTGTTGTCTTTATAAAAGGCTTTACATGTAGGTTTTTGTTTCCTGAACTTCTCTGGTGACCTGTAAACCACATTTGTGAACATACATGCTCTCCTGACATTCTATAGGTGCAACTGTACAGCTTATTTCTCAACCAGTATTTGTTTAGATAACCTTTCAGATACTCTCATACGCTTTGGGCAGACTACTGCGTGTAGCACTGGACACACCTGTAATTCCTTCAACATGTGACTTTTTTTGATGATTCTACAAGTTATTAAATTATGTGGATTATGACCATCTCTGTATAGTTTGCTTCTGTATCTGTAGCCGTATCTGCCCACAGTCTGTGGAAGAAAAGTTGAAGACTGAATGACAATCGGAAGAATCACACATACTCACATACCAGATTTCCTTTAATCAGACGTATTGTCCCTCGTCTAAGGCATTTGTTACAGAAAAGTTGTCCATCTACTTTTTGACACTGTTGGGCTACATAAATGTTTTTGGTCATTAATGAACCTTACACACAATAAAAGGTTGACCCTTATAATATCCTGATTTTATTTATTTTTTTCTTCTTTTTCTGTTTGCTAAGTTAAAATGTTCTGTGTAAATATACACGTATAAAGGATATAAAATAGAAATTGTAATGGGACTGTTTCTTAAAATGATTTAGAAGTACATGTTGTATTCAGCTGTTAAACATGCATCACAACTGCGTTTCCATTATGGACTGACCCAGTAAAATTGACAAGACAAATGCACCAGGAGAAAACTTTCCAGTTCCCATCATTGGCAGAAAGCATGTGTGCCATGTGTAATGTGTGGCATTTCAATATCTGTTGAAATTAAGAAGATAATTACCCTCCCTGGTCATTAGTTTGAATCACCCTCGGTAATGCCGTCAACATGGATCAACTCATTCATGAGCTCTCTCGTCATTTGTTGCTTTCATTCCCATATAGCTTGATGGCACTAAGATATGAAAACATCAAATTATATTCATGAGACATCTTGCAAACATTTCCTATCTGGAAGGGCAAGGAACATAACATCTAAATGGCAGCATTTAGGGTGAAACTGAACCATTAGAAAGTTCTTAATATTCAGTTCTTTAAGCTCCAAAAGTACAAGCCTTATTGCAGAAATGTTATTGAGTGTTATGAATCCGGTTCAGCTGTAACCAGACAAACTAGTGATTCTTATTTTGTATAAAAAGAGGTATATTTCTCATCTAGTGCATTCAATGTAACAGTGCATAAAGAACTAAAATGGTCTAGGACTTATAATGGAGCTTCAATGGGTGCTGCACACCAATGGCCAACTAAGCAAACAAGGCCTTGGAACGTTTACTGATATTATTTGAAGGTCAAAAATAGCATTAGCTAAATATATTAAACAGTTTCAAGCCATTTTCCATCTATTTACTCTGAAATTGACTTTCTATTTCCTTCATGGAGATTGCACCCACAAACTCCACTTTTTCTCTCTATAAATGTGACATTTCAGTATGTATCCCACTAACATGTATATTTTTTGTGACAATTTAAACATCTGCAATTAACAAGATCACTTTAGAAGCAAATGGTTAAAGCTGAAGCACATTACAGAAGAAGAAAGTGATTGGCAATCAATACAAATGACAAGCTAATGCACAGTGGGTACATATTGTGTGTGCTGGAGAAGTCTGTTGCACATTGTCCTTAATCACTACTTTATCAGACATGCCACTGATCAAAAGCACCTTGGAATGTCCATATTTAACCTGACCTGCAAGTGTAACAGCTGAGGAAGTGTTTGAATCAGAACCTAAGTGTTAGCTTGTTTACAGAATGAAAAGTTTGTTCTCCCAAGTCTGATGAAGATGGATGACTTAATATCCCATTTCACCCCACCAACCCCAGTACAAACCCTTCAAGACATTTCTCTCCCAACTCTATATTGACTAGCTTGTGCTTCCTACAGTATAACACCAGTTGCAGAGGTGAAATAAGCTTGATATTTATGAAAGTAAATCTATACCTAGTTTGTGTAGTGTGAAACCATACCATTATAGTGTATCTTCTAGGGAATGGTAAGAACAGGACAAATACAGACTAAAACACACTGTTGTGCACTTTCTGGCTGAACACTATTAGGATGCCAACTAATTAATCTCAGGTAACAACAACTTAACAAAATAGTTATGATTTCTCTTAAAAGCCCAATTAGGAGTTGAAAAGTTTAAAGGGCTGTTCATACCAAGGACGATAGTTTTTCTAAGCGTTCCTAAGTTTATAGCGTATTTCACAAAGGAACGATATCGTTACAATAATTTCACAGATTTTTTTTTTTTGAGATGATAAACAATGAAAACTTTTAAAAGGCTCGAGCGTTTAAAGCAGCAGACGACAGAACTGTAGCGCGCGGTTATAATAAACAGCGTGTTCATCAGTTGGTGTGGACGTTAATAGACCTTACACCGTGTCTACACCGGATGCGACAGTTGTTGTGGCTGTAAGTGATAGAATTACAGTCTTTACAATGGCAAGAACTGTACAACGGTTCTAGACTGTTCGCGCCATTATTCGCCGTAATTTCGAGAGGTCAAGTCCTACTCGGAGCCGTTCACGTCCTTGGCTTGGACTCGGAATTATGCTTTTCTATGGCAACACACTACCAACGCCTACATGAATCTGCAGCGGTCAGGTGGTACAGATCAGAGCTCTCAGAAAAGGTCCAGTTTACAAGTGTAATTAAGAGTTTTACGTGAAAGCTTTAAAAATTAAACATGGCACTACTATGACTAAGGTCTATATAGTTATCTTTCTTGGTGTGAACCAGTCAGAGGCGTTGAAAAAGTTGCGACAACCTTTGATCTCGCGGTCACGTGGTTCATGTAGCTACTGGCGCTAAGAACCTGTTTGAATGTGTTTAAGCGGGACAGATAGCAGCAGCGAATATATTTGCAGCAATTTTCGGTAAATATGAACGCATAATGTTACATTGACTATATTTATAGTAGCCTTAATCAGTTTTTTTTCTGTGTTTAATCTAGGAGGAAAGGGGGATTGCTTCCATGCATGATAGCATCTAACCATGAACATTAATTAACTAAAATGTCACAAAATGCAGTCATTTAATCAAATTACCAGTGAATGTGCTTGGTACACATGGAAATGCATGGGGTTTAGCGCTGGTAATATTGTGTTTGGAACTTTCGCATTCCCCGCTTTCAATGGGAGTCTATGGGAGTGTTGCAACTGTATTTTTCTGGTGCGAACTGGCCTTATCAAAGGGGACTATTTTAAATAAAACCCTATGTTTCACATTTTACACGGTTTGAATCTATATCCGTTACCAAGTAATCTAACACACATCAAACTGTTTGCAAGACACTCATGGATATGTTCCTTCTGTGAAGGCCTGTGCGGTTTTCTGTCTATGGTAAGGTCTACAGATTGTCTCAGTCTTGTCTCACCTATTTTTGTCAGTATAAAAGATACTGTAAATATTGTAAGGGTTTTTATATACAGAGAGTATTGGCCACTGAGGGACCAAATGTCAAATGAACAGCTCCAGCCCACGACTAGCATAAACAGCATCTGCTGTGCTCCCATGTAACGTTAACCGCCGGGCAAACTGATGACTACACCATCATGAGGCTCATCTACATGCAGGAGTTGTTCATTCTTGCATTGTGAGAGCAGAACAACAGGTAAAATAGCCAAACTTTAGCGCTTCCTTGAGCCTAAAGCTCAGTTCAAGGAATTTAGCTGGAATGTTTGGATAGAAAAGACCTTGTCTCTCAGGAGGCAGCACTGGAACAGAATGGGCTTGAGTAATCCTTTCCTACCTTACATCCATATAGTGTATATGAGTATGTACATGAAAGAGTGTGAAAATTATAGCTAGACCTAGCGATAGGCCGATATATCAGTCAGCTCGTTTATTCGGCCAGTGTTCAGCCATTTTCAAACTATTGCCCAATGGCGACAGTGTCGCTTGCCCGATTAACAGAAGTGCTAAATTTCCTCTTGTTATTTCTTTCAAGAATCGGCCAGCCTGCTCTCCATATTTCAGTAGCAACATTGGCCCTTTGTAAAACCGATATCATTCGCGGAAAACAAACCATGATCAAAGATGAGATTTCTTTACAAGAACCATTCGGTTTTTTGGTAATAACACTGTAGTTCATTGAGTAATGCCAAATTTCATGGTAATGATCCTACTCATATACTTCATTTTATAAGGCAAATATGAACCAGACATTTGGCTGAAAGGTAAAAGGGATGGGGCGAAGCAAAAACTTGGCTATGTATTTTATATAATCTACTGGTTTTGATATTTTAAAGCTATTTAGATTAATGGTAGTGTCAGTTGTTCACTGATATTAACAATTAATGTCCTATTTGCAAAAATTATTTTGAAGACGCATTTAAATAACAAACTGGATTTTATACTGCCTAATAAGGAAACCCTTTTTGAATGCATTTGTTTCATCAAGATTTCACTATCTAAAATGGAGGTCACTTCTCCTACAATATCAACAATGAAAAATTTGGCATCAAACTGCCAGGCAAAAAACTATGGTGGCCTACATCATGTCCTGAGACATCACCTTTGCCAAGCGACCTGTTGGCTTGCTACCTGTTCATGTGAACGGCCATTCATTAAAAGATCTCAGATATCCTTCAGTCAAATAAAGAAAATGACCAATACAACAAATCTACATATGCATATGTACGGGTAACCTGGCATAAAATAGCTTATAAACAACAGCAATAACGGAAATTCACAAAAAAGAATATATGTATAATGAAAAAAAGTGGTGCCATGTTTTGTTTTGTTTTTTTCATTTGTTTTTGTTGATTTTTTTTTGTTGGGGCCGGGGGGGGGGCTACTGCTATGTGTACATTATGTGTACATTACCTTGTTTTACTACAAAAAAAAACACCCTCCCTGGTGACCCCACACAAATATAGTGCACTGCAGTGGTTTTCCTGCT